AACTGAGAATTCAATTGAGAATTTAATTGAGAATTCAATTGGGAATTCAATTGTGATCTCAATAGAAATTTTTCAGTAGGGATTATATCACGTCTTAATGATGTGATATTTCTCTCGGTCCTGTATTATCATTCTTTTCTTTAATTTACGTCAATATAAACATCTAAATAGTAAGCAAATTTAAATAGTAAGTATAAAAGTATTTTTTCCTTTTTTAACAGTTATGAGATATGTATAACATCTCATTCCATATAGCACACAATGTTCTATGAATGTTCTTATGAAGTGCGAATATTTTTAATTTCAGAATATTTAAATGGAATATTCAATAAATATACGTAGAATATTACAAGAGTTATATTATATTAGAGTCATATTTTCATAATGAAAAAAAACATGCTAAGAATACTCACACAACATTCTCAGTAAGCAAGGAACATTAAATTAACGTTTAGAAACGTTGACTTCATGTGCATTGTTTGGACATTTTTTAATAATATTGTATTTATATTTTTCCCATGTTATTTTATGATGATTTTTTTAAATGTTGTTTAAACATTTTAAAAACATTACAAAAAATATATTTTTCAAATGTTACTTTAATATTTATTTGAGATCAATGCAACATCTTAAAAATATTTCTGTCGATTAAAATGTTATAGCAACCCTATTTCAACATTATTGAAACTTCCAAATCGCGGTCAAAGTATGTTCATAATGATGTTTGATACAATATTAAACACTACATATTTGACAATATTATAGATTTTTCAATATCATTGTACCTTACTGAAAAATTTCTGTTGAGATAACACTAGATTTTCCAATTCAATTCTTAGTTGAATTCTCATTTGAATTTTAACCCCTTAACCTACGATTTACGTTCCAACAGCCTGAGTCCAAAACGTAAACAAGATCGCGCAGCCTTTGAGCCATTCCACGGTTCGGCAAATCGGTCCTAAGTTGTACCAAACGCGCACGACTTACGGAATGTAAATACATGTGTAAGATACAACTGGTTTAATTTTATGCTAGGAGTCATCGTATAGTTCCAGATTTTTGGACTATTTCTTATTTCTTTCCAAATCTAGGGCTCTGGTAGTTGATCTTCGTCAGAGGTATCATCAATAACTAATCGCTTGCATTTTTTCCGTACAGAACGTATAATATCACTATTGTCACTTTCGATAGCAGAAGTATCAACATAACTCTCACTGTTCTCATCACAAAATCTTCTTTTTGAAAATATCTTGTGGGGATACTTCTCTAATATTTAAGAAAATATATTTCGACGTGCGAACGTGACCAAGACTAACATGTAACTGATTATGATACAAAGAGATAATAAGAATCTATCACGAGGCTGGTCTGTGCTGTTTGTGGTGGGGCAAATTACAAATCGCGACCGTCGCACCACGGGCCATGCCCGTGATATTTACATTTGGCCCGATTATTGTACCAGAGACCATGCCCGTAATATTTACATTTGGCCCGACCGATATATCACGGGCCAGGCCCGTGATAATCAGTTTTGGCCCGAATACAAGACCATGTCTCACACGTAGTTGTAGGTTAAGGGGTTAAATTCTCAAATGCCATTTCCGTAAAAATTCGCATGTAAGATCTCAATTGAGATATTTGTATCTGATGGAAATAATTTATTGAAAATATAATGGACTTTTGTTGAAATGCTTTTGAAAAACATTCACAATTTTGACCCAATTTCATTAAAATTTCATTATAATTTCATTAATATTTCAATAATATTTCATTAAAAATGTAGAAAAATTCAATGAAAAATCATTATTAATTAAAATAGATTGAGAAAAGTATAATAAAGTATTATTTTGTCTTATAGTATCAAATATTATAATAAAAAAAAACTATAATTTCATATTTTGTGTCGTTTCATTTATTCGTAAGATTCGCATGGATTCGATCCCATGTCACGCGGCACCTATTTTTAGATGACTATGCGCTGTTCAATGCCTAACCTCAACGATCATACGGGAACTGGTGACCTTTGCGATTTTATCCGGCTCGATAGGACGTGTCTAAGGTTACAAGTGAGCGTTTATTTAAATTAGATTCGTAATACGGAAAAGTAAATTTATAAACTAAAATTAAGTGCTCCAGAGCGAGCGGTTTTGATAAAGACAGGAGTAATATAGGGGACTGTAAGTTTGATTGGACGAGAGAAGGGAATACGGGAGTGAGGTTAAGTAAGGCAATGCCTGGTAGTCCAGGTTTGGAGGGAGAGGGGAAATTGAACGTAACAAAAGGAAATGAAAGTTTAGGTAGGTGGGGAAGTTTTTCAGAAGAAATATTTGAAAAATTTATGATGGAGAAGAGGGTAACAATGAAAGGAAAAAACAAGGGCATAAAGAGAGTAGGTAATGAAAGTGAGAGAGTAGAGAAAGGCAATAAGGCTAGTCAGACATTTTTAGGGAAGAAAATGAGGAAAGATAGATATAATGATGATGAGATAGGAGAAGTAGCTCTTGGAAAAGAGTTAAATGATAGTGAGAAGAGAGCAAAAGCAAGTTTTGGGCGGGAACTAATGTTGTGTGAGAAAATGCAGATTGCCGAGTTACGTGAAATGAAAGTCAAAGTAAATGATGAAGGATCTAAAATATTGAAAAGAAAGGAAGGTAAAGTTTTTTCGAAGCTCCTCAGAGTGGGTGAGCATTTTAAAAGGCTTGAAGAATTGACGGAAGAAGAGAAAGCGATAGCCTTTGGAGACATAAAATTTTTTGAGGATGGTTCTAATAGAAAAGAGTTCATAGTGACTTGCAGATTGAAAAGGGAATATATAACGAGTAATAAAAGAACCAATGCTTTGTTGATATTAACGCAAGTGATGCGGGATAAAATAGAACACAAAGAGATATTGGAAAACAGCTTCATAGCGTCTGATATTTTCGGTGGTGCTAAGGAAGCGAACAGATGTCTGAGGCTGAATGAGCAGAATGGTAGACGTACAGAATACATTATCACGAATAGGAATGTGAAGAGCAAAGGCGTTATTACTGACTGGACTGGTTGTGAAGAGGATTTACTCGAGGCTATTGATAATAAACATCTTATTATGGGAATTGAAAGACTTAGAAGAAGAATATTCTTGGAAAATGAGAGAAAGTTTGAATGGGTGTGTCAAGATTCTTTGTAGTAACTTTCGAGGGACGTGAGATCCCAAAAGAATTAAATATATTTGATGGAAAAGGTAAGATCAGTGTTCGGCCATTTGTTGAACCAGTTCTGCAATGTTTTCACTGTTACGGGTATGGGCATTAGAAAGATAATTGTAGAAGGAATAGAGTATGTGTGGTATGTGGGGAGAAGTTTCACGGAGAATGTGACAAAAAAGAGAAGTGCATAAACTGTAAAGGTAACCATAAGGCTAATAATAGGCAATGCGTGATGTATTTAAGGTTTTTGGAGGTAAATAAAGTCATAGCTGAGGATAGAGTGTCAAGCTTTGAAGCGAAAAGTACTCCAAAAAGAAGACGAAAAGACTATGAGAAGACGAGATCTAGGAATAGAAGAAGGCAAAAAGATGAGAACTATTAAAAATAACTTGGAAACTGGAACGAGAAGTTGGAGTAATGTAGTTTCGGGTACTTCTGGCACACTGGAAGAGAAGGACAAAAGAACAGAAAGTAGTAAGGAAATCCTGCAAAGAGAAGTTGAGGAGAGGAGGAAGTTTTATAGAATTGAGATAAGAGAATGCGCAAGGGAATTTTTTGATATAATTAAGGAAACTGTCCGCTATGATTATGATGATATGACTGAAAAACTTTTAAAATTTACCACGGAGAGCATTCATTACAAGGTTAACGAACTGGAAAAGAAAATTGAAACAAGCTTTTATAGGAAATT